ACATGGTCCGCGGCCATTTTCCGCCCGTTCCACGTGGTCCGCGGCCATTTTCGCCCGTTCCACATGGTCCGCGGCCATTTTCCGCCCGTTCCACGTGGTCCGCGGCCATTTTCCCCCGTGCCACGTGGTCCGCGGCCATTTTCCACCCGTTCCACGTCGTCCGCGGCCATTTTTCCACCCCTGACACGTGGTCCCCGGCCATTTTTCCGCCCGTTCCACGTGGTCTGCGGCCATTTTCCGCCCGTTTACTTCGACTTGCGACCAACTCGACTTGCGATCAGAGTCACGGAACGGATTAAGTTCGTAAGTAGAGGTACCACTGTACATTGTGTAAAGTACATCATAGTCATCAATAGTTGCATAAAACTATGATATACAAAAGCAGATCTTTTCAGTAATACAAAATAACCTCGCTAGGCTTTGTAAAGGTTACAGCAAAATAGATATCAACCACAGCCATTTGGTCGGTGTTTTGACCAATATAAAAAGCTGTCCCCAGTGAGTATCTTACTAATAAATTAAGTTTACCTTCTGTGAGGAGAGATATGTATGTTCCTTACTCCACCTGGATCTCTTCCCCCCTCAAGAAGCAGTGGAATTTTCAACTGTACAAAGGGGGGAAGTTTGATAGCTTGGAAATAATGCGACGTGGGGAGGAGATATGTTTCTTCCTTCACCTGTATCTGACACAGAGGCATGTTGAAGTTTGCTATCTATTGATTTCTAGAAATAAATGGTCTTCCACTAGACAGGTACTGAATATCAGCTTTCCTGATGTGCTCACAAATTAATTAATCATGTTGGAGAACCCACTGAGCTCAAGTTTTCAAGGGAGTTTACAAATGGCCTGCTTCAGTTTGTTTTGTTTTGTTTTTATAATTGGTGGATTATTTTTTTTTTTGCCATGCACAAAATTTTAAGGTGTGAGCAGTTTTCATATTCCAGGCACTTGGAATTCAGTAAAGTTCTGACATGTAGTCTGCACTGCAATTACACATGCACTAAAAATATTCCATTCCACAGAACAACCCAGAGTCTTGGAAAATTGTTAATCAATTGCTTGAAGATAAGCATCTCCAGAGATATGAGCTTTCAAGAAGAACACAATATTTTGTAGTAGCACTTGCTCTGAAACAGGTACAGGATTATTCACTTCTATTATCTGTGCAGCTTGATGTTCTGTATCCTTGGATGTGTGTCTGTTCAACAACATTAGTGCAGATGTTCTGGTTACATGGACCTTGTTCTTTCCATCCTAGGGATTATCTTACTGCATTGATGCAATACAAATATTTGTGATGTATCTCATAGATTATTTTTGAAGAGGAAAGAGGGGGCTTTTTGTGATACCAGTTTTGTTTGGTTAAAGGAACTAAACCTGAAACAACATATAAGAAAAGCTGATATTCTCAGTTAATTTGAAAATTGAAATTAAACTATGGCAAAATCAGAACATTCTTTGACATGGGGATGACCAATTGGCAACTTAAGGGCAAGATTTGATTACTTAAGGATCTTAATTTTCTCCAATGGCTTTAATCTAAAATTATTTTTAAAATAGCAGTTTTTAAAAATTGGAGATATTCAGGAAGCAATTTAGTTCTTCGACTTTCAGTTGAAATCTTAAAGTATTATAGGGATTTTTAGCTATAAAAACTGAATTTTATCCAATATGGGTCAATTATTTCTTTTATTATTCTTCAGAATATAATGTCCTAGGAAAACACAAATATTGATAATCAACGGAGGTATCTTCAGCAAACCATGTTTTTATTTATTTAATACAATTTAGAAGCCGCCAATTCCAAATGATTGGGTGGCTTATACTTAAAAAAGCATTAACAGTAAAAAAATAAGGAAACAAACTGTAGGCGTCCAGAGGGTAAACATCCTACAGGAGCTTAATCACATTCTGCCTCCAAGGCCTGGGGGACAAACAGGTTTTCAGTGATTTTCTGAACATCATCAGGGTGGAGGGCATATGGGTCTCTGCTCTTTAACTTTAAGACAACCCCCAGATTGTTTACCAGTCTTGAATGGAGAATACTACCCTATCGAAGAATAAAGATGGAAAGTCCCCAGAGCCCGGGTCCCAAATCTCCACAGCCACTTGGTCATAACAGGATTCAGCCTGAATCTGTTCCTCCTCATCCATTCTCCACACACTGGGACAAGAACTCGATAGCATCACTTGGATGCCCCATGGTCAAGATGTACAGTTGGGTATCATTGGCATACAGTGATACCTAACCCGAAACCAAAGGATAACCTCACCCAGTAGTTTCTTATATATCAGTGTTGTCCCAAAATTTTGATCCTCACTATAGGCGGGGTGATCATAAGCAAGAGTCTACCGCCCCGCGCGGCGGGGGACTGGAGAGGGTGGAGG